TCCACAAATAGAGTGACTCTAATACAGGTTTAAGTATTATATAAAAAGGGTTATGTAGAAAAATGCTGTCGTTTTTGTCGTTGTAAAGCTGTACCAAATGTGTCGCGTAAAAGGCTGTTCCTTTTACAGGTGTGATAAAATATTCAAATGGTCGCGGGATAAAACCTAATTGAGACCCATGTTAGGCTGTAGAGGTCACAGAAACATGGGTACAATGTCACATCCCTATTATAAATTGATAAACACCTAAGTAATATTTAAATCTTCCTGTCGTGTCGACAACAAACCTACACAGTGTCAGCCCAAAACTCCGCTACAAGAGTGGCGTTGTCAGTAGCCTTCATTAAATCTTCCTGCGTGCAGTTGTTTGGGCACGCAGAGCACGACATCATGTGCTTCAGTATTTAAATTAATCAAATATTTACAAGCACCTAAGCAAACGTTTAGGATTGGTTTGAAGAAGTTACGCAAATCTTTTAGTGCGCCGTAAACTTTATTTCAGTCACGATTCACGACTTTATTTGCCTAAATCTGGAATCCGGGTTTTCCAGGAAAAGCTTCTGTATTATACATTTTCAGGCCTACCGTAAATACAGGGTGTCAAGGCCAACTAGGTAAAAACTGAAAAAATTAAAGAGACCAAACTTAACCTTCTTTTGAAGGGAAGGAGTGTAAGATATTATCAAAATAACTACTGCATATTACTCCAAACGACCATCAAACAGCTGGGCGACCATAAACAATCATGCCACTTCATCTTTATAGCCCATAGACAGACGTTTATCTACTTTTAGAGGCTAGACTATAACGCGAATCGGTAAACTCTGTTGGAGGCGTCGTTATCGGTCAATAGCCGATAGCCAATTAGCGATAAAATTGGAGCCAGAACTCTGTTTACTTGGTTAACGTAATTTGTCGAAGTCAATTTTATAAATCTGTTTTTAATCAATTTTCAAAATTGTGCGAGTGTGTCATTAATTTAATATCTATTTAGTTGTGGTGTGAGCTATGTATATTAAATTACGTCTTTGTAATTTCATAGATATTGAGATTATTGAAAACTAGCTTTCCGTCCGCGTAAAATTTTGTCTGTCACAGAAAAACTACATCGCACTCGTCCCTATTAAAAAACCGGGATAAAAACTATCCTACGTCCTTTCCTGGGACTCAAAATATCTCTGTGTCAAATTTCATCAAAATCGGTTCAGTGGTTTAGACATGAAAGCGAGACAGACAGAGTTACTTTCGCATTTATTATATTAGTAGAGAAGTAAAGATATGATTTGCACTTTGATTGTTAGAATTTTGAAGCTAAGCTGTTTTAAGTTAGTCACTCTTTCAATTTGCAAGTATAATTTTTAGTTAAATGTTTTAACAGCTAGTCAAGTTCTCACTGAAATTGTATAAATGCCAGGTTTAGCTAAAACTGGATAATATCTAACATTAATATTCATACAATACCATGATCTGAAAGGGTCGACGTATCCTCAAAGTACAGTCAGCATCAAAAAGACCAGTAGCGAAGTTTTTGGCTACTTTGGGTGTCACGAACTATTGAAGCTAACTGTAAAAAACGATATAAAGTATAAAAACCCCATGTGTGAGGTTTATATCTTTTATCAAGTCCCTTACAACGAAGAGGTAATAAACTTGACAGTCCTTTTTCGTTTTATTGTAGTCGGATTTAGTGCTGGGCCAAGGTATATGTTAACGTTTTGGGTTATGCCTTAAAATATAACTGGGAGTAACGACCTGATCTTCTTTTGAACTCATAAAATTGGAGAGTTGTCTGTGGTACATGACAATCAAAGTATACAGAGAATATATTCGTTTTTAATTTCATTTGTTTCAACCGAAAGACGTCAACTGCTGATACCCCCAAAGATGTCTACGCTGCGCTGTCCGCATCCAAATGCTTGAAGCATCTTCGGTTTTTAGTTTATCAAAAAGAAAGTATGTATCACATATTTACACATTGCATCATTTTTTTATGTAAGACAAGGCAGGTATTTGACCGCAATCGCACCTGGTGTTAAGTGAAATACAGTCTAGGATGGTACATATCTGCCCTGTAAGTGCCTATTCACTATCGCCTTGAAAAGGCCCGGATTAAGTATAGTGTTCAGGAAAGTAGGAGATGAGGTGTTTATAGCCAAACACAGATCTTTGAAGCCAACAAAAGCCTTTTAATTTGGTACTAGAAACACTGTGAAAGCGCTTTTTAATCTTTGACCACATACAAAATATAAATGAGTTTTGATTTACTACTACGCTACGGTAAAAACCAAGGCAACATTCAGTACTTATAGGTGCCATTACAATGTAGGTTTACTAAAGTTGTTTATAAACAACACGTCCAATGCCAAATAATAAACCAAAACACCTGAAAGAGTAGATTGCTGACGTAACCTCAAGTTTACAAACTACTCCAATTTGAGGGTCGCTTACTAAATCGGAGAAACGATTTTGCCTCAAGGTTATAGGGTGATGTTTATAAAGTTTAGCTTTATAAATGAAGGCGTGTGAATAGGGGCACACGAAATGGGAATTACACGAAATTGAATCTGTATTTGGGTTTGAATTGAGTTTTGAGTTTCATCATACTCGTACGCTCGCTCAGTGTATAACCACAGAATAATAATAAGTACTACGTACAGAAGTTTTACTTCGCGAAGATATTTAAAAAAATGTATGCTCAATGTCATTAACAATATGGTGTAATTTAGCCTGTCTCAAGAGTCAAGCACCATTTTGTTGACAAACGTCAGTGATCGGCACTGCGCCGAAGCTATAGGGCTGACTTCGGTAAAATGATGTGACGTGAGGTGCCAAACTGCGGAAAATGGCGGAGGAAATACATGATTTAGCATGAATTATCATAAATAATATTAACTACTTATTTACCTCTCAGTGTCTTGAGGCAACTTAAAAAAGTACATTCTGTGTTTCTATATTATTATTTAGGCAGTTAAATACTGCACAGTATTTAGTACACCATTTTCTTTATTTTCTTCTATCATACACAAGAATACGCATGCGTGAGTCAATGTTCGCGCGTATGTGAGGCCTTGTCGAATAGTATCCTGTAGGTGGGCCATCGTGCGTGTTTTGTTTTCGATGTAAACTCGCGGAGATGAACAGGCCTGGTATAACGTTTCAGCCAAATGACGTTGATTGCTGTGGGCTGAGTGTAAGTTTACATCAAAAGTCCTCACTAGTTAGCGCGTTAAAAAAATGTACCTATGAAAATTTTAGTTCTTGAACGTTTCCTTAAACGTTTCGTTAAACTCACACTAAGCCCTCTGGACGGGCCTCCCCCAAGGATTTTCAAAACGACCGGTACTGAGCTGTTCCAATCCAAGTGCTACCCATAGCTATCCATCCACCTAGTAGGAGGCCTGCCCACATTTCTCCCGGCACTGTTTAATACTGAACTTAACCGTACCAAGTGTATAATCACCGAGAGCTAATAAGTCCATTCAATAATTAAATACATAGGTATTTGATTGTCTTGCTATTATTACACAGTTGGGTTGGTCGAGAGATCAGCAAAACACAAAGAATTGCTTTTTAATTGTTTTCCGATAAATGGCAGGAGAATTAAAAAAATACAATGTGTGCGTGCGATTTATTTTGTGTTAGGGTAATCTACCGGGATATAAATATTTTTTTGTAATTTACAACGGATCCTGACGAACCCTGATTGCAAAAACATTCGTTATAAAAAGAAGAGTGTTTGTTACATTTATAAAGCTAGACTAAAAAAAAGGATTATTTCGACTCCTCTTTTTTACATAAAATGGTAACAGTACAGTTAAGCAAATAATTTCCAGTTTTATTAATAAACGAATACAATCCAAATCGAAAACAACACCGTCATATTCCTTATTCCTTACTGGTGCAAACTGGGACAACAATAACATCGACTCGTGCGCATACCACGTGACTGCATCGTGACGTCAATGCGCGGACGCAGGAACCCCGCCCTCTTTATAATTAGCTGGGCGCTGCAGTGAAATGGAACGAGTCATGGTTGTTATGGGATTTTGAATGTGCAGTAGGTATAATAACAATTTTGCCCGCGTGGAATATTTTCTGTCACAGGAAACTTTATCGTGCTGTTTCAAAAACCGAGATAAAAACTATCCTATGTCCTTTCCCGGGGCTCAAACTATCTCTATGCGAAATTTCATCAAAATCGGTTCAGTGGGATAGGCGTGCAAGACAGACATACAGGCAGAGTTACTTTCGCATTTATAATATTAGTAATTTAGTATAGAGTATAGATGACCAAACCTTTCATGAATCATCACTTTGCCAGTCAGAATCAATCAGAAAAGCTCTATGTTCAAACGATAGTCGTAGCTTAGAACTCGTATACCCCATTTCACCCACACGTTTACTATTCGAGTACATCATACCATGTGTAAGCCAATAATAAATGTACTCGTACATAAATCATGTGATGCATTGGCGAAGTAGTGTCAGACCAAAATAGTTGTCACTTTCCCTTTTGACCGGTTACAATCTTTATAGAAAGAAAGAAAGAAAGAAAAATATTAAATATTTTATAAGTGGACCTAATTGCGTGGGACGTCCACCCACAAGGTGGACCGACGACATCATAAAGGTAGCAGGAAGGCGCTGGACGCAGGCCGCTACCAACCGGGCAGCATGGAAAGCATTTGGGGAGGCCTATGTTCAGCAGTGGACGTCCTATGGCTAAGATGATGATGATGATGATAAGTGTGCCTTGTGTATGGATCTCCCACGAACTCATTACACCTCATTAGATCATATAGTTTTCATTCTATCAACACGACTCTCTAGTGTTCACCAGAGGCAAATGAATGGTTTGGCCAGGCGATTTAAGGTTGTTTGATGTTCGCACATTTGCCCCTAGGTCGCCTTTTACCACGTCCATGAGAAGAGTAAGGTTCTATTCTGACCCTCTCTTATTTACCAGAGGCAAATGAAGGGTTCGGCCAGACGAATTAGAAATGCCTGATGTTCAGGCAGGCAACTAGTGGTGACTGAGTTTGTTCCGGCGTTTCTTCTCAGCACTTGCCATAATATATTTGTATCGAAGCGCTGGTAGGGCCCAAAAGATAAGGAGACATGTAAAGTGCCCCATAAGGGCTACCTTTTTTTATTTACTATATTTTGAAGTTCATAAGTGCCACTTGTGGTCTAAATTGAATAAATATTTTTGGTTTTGACATTTGCCCGTTAGTCGCCTTTTACTACGTCCATGAGAAGAGTAAGGTTCTATTCTGAGTATTCTGACCCTCTTTTCGCATCTAGGTGCTTCATTCAGCCTCTGGTAAGGCAAATGAAAGGTTTGGCCAGACGAAATAGGAATGCCTGATGTACCCACATTTGTCCATTTGATCCTTCGTCGCCTTTTACGAATTCCTCGGGAAGAACAGCCCTATTCTTCTCTACCAGAACCATACAAAACTACTGACACTTATCTTGGTAACTCACAATCCTCTCCTTTTCCAGGCATAGTCAACCGAGGGGACTCCTTCAGGCGCCGGCGGTCGCGTTCAGGCAGCCTCGCGCCCTCATCTCCTGCTCAATCAGCTCCAGAACCTCAGGAGCGCAGGCCCGTGGCCTGTCACAGGGTGGCCATGGTCGGAGCACCAGGGGTCGGCAAGACGGCGCTCATCAACCAGTTTCAGACAAGCGAGTGTATTAATGCTTACGACAGACCTGCTGGTGAGTTTTTAATAATTTTAAACTATACAATGTTTTTTAAATACTTTTGGCATCTCAAAGTGACAATCAGTACCTAGAATCCTCAGCCACAGAGGAACTGGCTGTCTTACCTCTAACTGTCGAAATTATGGTGATAGTCGTGATGATGATGTCGTCGTAGTAATGGTCGATGAAGCACATGATGACGTGCCCTGAGTGCCCGAGCAACTGCACTCAGGAGGATTCAATGAATGCTGCTGACAGCACCACTCTTGTGGCGGAGTTTTGGACTGGCACTTTGTAGGTTTGTTGTCGACACGAAGAAGAAGTAATAATGATGGTGATATCTAACCAGGCAGATTTGGAGCAATCATCTTTTTACAGTCAGTTGTCCACTAAGTACTCTCAATTATTTGACTCAAAGAGCTCTTTTATGGCTCTAAAACCTTTCTCTGCTTCGATATAATAATGGGGACCAGAAGTGAGAATCGCAAGGCACTTATCTGTAGCTATTGACATACAAACCTTGGTCACCACAGGCTTTTAATTTATAGTACGTAGTGTTTACGTGAAATGCAAGGCAAGGTTCCTATTACTCTATTAAAACTTCACAAAAACAAAGGTAATTAATTCCCAAAATAATCTGGTAACTACACGTACCTTGTGCAAATGTTTGTACAAAAAGTAACTAACCCAAATAAGTATATTCTAGTTACTTAATAACTCAAACCAAGCGTTTAATTAACTGAAGGTCTTGGGAAAATTGCTCACTCAATTTGAAGCGCTTAGCGTTTATGAAGTTGAAAAACACTCAACTTTTTCAAAGTAAACTTCATAGTTGAGTACTTAGCTCTACCATGAGTTGCCATCGAAAACTTGTATTGGTATACTACAGGCGATCGTATGAACGTGAATCGATAGTTTTCCATTAAAATCCTACCATGAGTTACTTACAGTTGCAGACATAAGATTAAAAAGATAGGAAAAGTAATAAGATAGATTGCATCCTAAAAAGATGTAAATAGCACACTCGCAAACAATGTATGGAATCATCCTATTTGTTCCGAAGGAGTGAGTTATTGACGTACCAAAAGATAACTAAGAAAGGGAAATCATTCAAAGATTGCATACTTGAAAAGATATAAGTCGCCTCAGTGTTCTTTAAATATAATCAAGTAAATAATAAATTGTCTACCAGCTAATTTTATAACAAAATACCTAATGTATGCAAATGGTTATTGTACTAATGAAACAAAGTCGTTATTCCCCTTACTAAAATTAATTAAAGCAACTTAGTTTCGTTGTAAACTTAGTAGTGAATAGCCATGGACCTATAAAAAAAGGCGGACGGAACTCGCGCTACAACAAAACTGTGACGCAAAATTTTGGCGTTTGTCTATTGTGTGAGTGAATTTAGGGATGCCATGTTAGCCAAAACATTTTACCCATTTATTTTAAGAAAAACATAGATCGGCAGATGTTACTTGGAAATGTAGACAGAATTATTCCGTGCCATTTTAAAAGGATGAAAGGTGAATGCGTTGAGGTAGGCGCGAAATTTTCAATGTTCAAATTTTCTTACATTGTTTGCAAGTCAGTGTGTCAGGGTATGTAGTTATGTCCATAATGTTGATCAAAAATGATTCACGCAGTTACAAATTACGAATCTTGTGTACATATAATCATAATCTTATGCATCATCAATATATTATTATTATCTCTGATAGATTTTTTTAACATACAACCTGACACTGACTTGAAATCAATGTAAGAAAATTTGAATTTTGCAGTTCCACATTTTTGGGGGGGATCAAATTTGCCTATGAAAATATATCCCATTAAAACACAATTATTATGATAAATTATTTTATTTCCATAGTATGCGTAATAAATAACTAAAAAGTCCTAAAATTATTATTAATTTCCCATATTTCGGGTAATTTTCCCACGTAAATAACTGAGAACACTGGTCTTTGACGTATTATTTTTTCGAGTGAATGACGTTTGATTTCAATTCATTTCAATATTTTAATGTCGGGAAATAAGTGATTGGATTATTATTTTGCCTGTGAAATGTGATTCCTTAATTTTTGTTTGTTCGAACCGAACGGTTTTTACACAATTTCATCACACAAGACATGTCGTATTCGTGTTGTTTTTTTGCTGCTTAAATGTGTCAACTGTGTGAAGTTTGCACTCGAAGTGGTGTAACAGGGTGTGAATGTGTGCGTGCCGGCCTGTACGTACAGGCAAGCTGGTGTATCCTAACGTCACAGTATTTTGTTGATGAGAATCCGTCCGACTTTTTTTATAGGTCCATGTGAATAGCATTTTAGTCTGCAAACACTGTCAAGTATTTACAGAGTTCTGTAAATACTCAATTGTGTGTTTTCTGAGGAAATTACATAGTAAATAGTGAATAAACTATTGTGACCTTGTCTTCAGCATGTACACGTTTTCCATTATTGTCATTTATAATTCACCATCGTCATCATCATAATAATTTATTCAATAATTGACACACTAGTGCAGAGTGGAAAAGCACTTAAACGAATGGAGAAATTTATTTCATGATGTAACTATTAATAAAAGTGAAACCTGCGTTATTAGATAGTTTTCGATAAATATGTAAAAAAGTTACTATTAACCCGCCTCTAGACACCTATTTTAAACGCTACTCCACAGAGAACTAATAAGTTACTCTATTACACTGAAAAAAACCTAACCTAACCAAACCAGTGTGCCTACCATGAGTTTACGTTAGGTGAGCTCGCTAGCGAGTCCGTCAAAAAAATCTCTGAAGATTTAATTTCTTGAAAGTAGCCGCTAGGGGCGCTACACAATGTGTCATACATTTAATGTCATTTTTTTACGCAGTCGCTAGCGAGCACACTTAACGCCTATACTCATGGTTAGGGTTGCCAGGCGTCCGGATAAAGCCGGACATAGTTAGGCTTTTTGATTGCGTGTCCGGCCAAAATAACCGATGTCACTAATTGCAACCCCCCCCCCCCCCCTCCGTCCGGCTTTTAGGGTAAAATGTCCGGCCAAATGAAGCACATAGTCCGGCTTTTGTGTTTTTGGACCTGGCAACCCTACTCATGGTAAGCACACAGGTTTAGCTCACTACAAAATATTTTGTTTAATTTACACAAAAAATTGTACCTTATAACCATAGTACCTAGTTAGTAGTAACCTCCAGTTATCTAGTCATTCATTTGTGTAAGCAGTGACAAATCGAATTTGCATCAGCAGCCATAAAGAATTCAGTTCCAGAAAATAAGTACCTAATGAATTACGTGTAATTTATCAACCTAACCCACCAGAGCGTTATGCAGTCAAACATGCTGTCAAAAGTCATAGAAAGTCGTCGACATGGTAGTTTTGAAATACAGCCTTGCCAGGACTTGATGTGTAGTCTTTTAGTTTCCCTATTTGGAATTCACAATTTCCCACCTTTTCCCTCATATTGTCACACAATCCTCGCACTTGCTTCTATCCTTGCACTATCCGAACATGCAAGCGAGCGTGAGGTAATCACAGAGTAATTTAAAAAACTTTGAAAAAAAAAACTCCTTTGTGCACGGAACACTGGCCAGTTGTTCCTTTTTCGTTTCGTTCCCGCGCTCGTAATAACTTTTTCTGCGCTAGATTGGCTGAGCGTTGTGCTAATGGGCTGTATGGGAACGCCACCGTTGCCTTTTTTCGGATCGCGTTTCGTTTTTGTTTTGTATTTTCTCGTTTGAGGTTATACAGTGTGAGTCACGTTAAAGTGTACATATGAAAATAGATGAAACTAGACCTATTTTTATCGACAAAAAAGAGGTCAAAAATTTTTTGAGATTTTTTTTAAATTTTTTATAGATTTTTTTTTCTTCCAATTACTTATTGTAAAGAAAACGTAATAACTTTTAAACTAAGCGGTATATCCTGATAAAATAAAAACAGTAATAATGCGAAATAACAGACGATACTAAAAAAATACATAAAATACACAAAAGAGGCCAAAAAATAATAAAAAAATATACTTTTTGAAAAAAATCTGCTTTTAAATTCGTGTTTTTTTGGTTATTTGATAAATTCCTCAAAAAAATGCCCCTATAACCGGTAGTTTTTACTACTTTGTATTATTCTCTATCGTATTACCTTCGTAAAACCAAAAATCGCATGTCTCTATCCCTATCACAACATTTGCAATGATCGTTTGAACTAAGCCTCTCCGGGCGCGCTATTCAACGCTTCGTTAACAACGAAACTGAAAATGGCTCTAGATTTGTAATTTAGATAAAGACAAGTTAAATTTCAAATAAAAACAAAAGATTTCGAAGTAAAATAAGCATTTTAGTTAAAATTTAAATTTTCTCTACCTGCAGCGGAGAATAATGTTGTGGCAGGCCTTTGTTCAAACGCTTATAGCAAATGTTGTGATAGGGATAGAGACATGCGATTTTTGGTTTTACAAAGATAATACGATAGAAAATAATACAAAGTAATAAAAACCCCCTGTTATAGGGGCATTTTTTGGAGAAATTTATCAAATAACCAAAAAAACACGAATTTAAACGCAGATTTTTTTCAAAAAGTATAATTTTTTATTATCTGTTGGCCTTTTTTGTGCATTTTATGTATTTTTTTAGTATTGCCTGTTATTTAGCATTATTACTGTTTTTATTTTATCAGGATATACCGCTTAGTTTACAAGTTATTACGTTTTCTTTACAATAAGGAATTGGAAGAAAAAAAATTATATAAAAAATTAAAAAAAAATCTCAAAAAAATTTTGACCTCTTTTTTGTCGATAAAAATAGGTCTAGTTTCATCTATTTTCATATGTACACTTTAACGTGACTCACACTGTATTTTGGCGTGCCGTTTTGTTTCTCTATTAGATTAGCACGTTTACTACAGATTCTTTTGAACGAAGTATTTCCTTTTATATTTTTCTTCAGGCACTTTCACTTCACACAAAATTTCTATTATCATTCAAATTGGAGATTGCTTTACTTAAAGGCTAAAGATGG